AAATGCATCTGGTCCTCTAAAGAGACTTTCTCTTATGCCAGGGCAGCAGTGATTTTATCACTAGCGTGTGTGTCATACTTGATCTTCAGTAGCAGGATTGTGAGCACTTCACTGTCAAACCTGGTGGCAGAACATCACTCTGTTATTTCGTTGCTTCAGAAGCTGCTAATGAGTGATGCAGAGGGTGACTCAATTCTTTATCTTCAGTGAATCAATCTTTTTTACGTATGAGTGTGCCTGTGTCACAGAGATATCTATAATTCAGTCATACAAAAGGCTGATAGCATTTTAAAGGTCCTCAAAAGGATTTATACATAGTCAATGTGTATTCTGAGTTCCATGCTAAATAATGCTTCAGTTCCTACTCTTTCTGTTCTTACTGTGTACTTCACATACTTGTTGCTTGAAAATCACAACTACATCAAATCACAGTTTTACCACTATATTTCTTTTCTCTCATGATATAAATCATTACGTAGAGTGCTGTCATCAACTCTAACAAGAGGAAGCCATAAAATCTCTTTCCTCAACAATTTTAAAATTTCCATTAGCAGTTTTTTGCAATTTGTGCTATATGTGCTGTTCTTCTCAGTCTAGGAAAGAACTAACTTCAATGGAAATATGTGGAAATTAAGCTGAAATATTTTAGCAACACAGCTTTATTTAAAGTAGAGTTGAAATAATTAAAAAATGCAAGTCAGGTATTCATGTCCTTGCCTTTCTGAACATCCACACAATGGTTCATTGCAATGCTGGGAAGCTGGCATGACAGTCTTTGTAATTAAAAGAAATAACTACACCAACATACCCAAGGTCCAAATGTTCTAAAATATTGATCTATTAATTTTACAGTTTTATTAAAAAAGATAAAGAGATCTAACCAATGCCAAAGATACACTCTTCAGTACAATAAAGTCCCACTAGATGGAGGCACCTCAGCTGCCATAACGAATAAGCTGAAGTACAACAGTTTAAAATACATGCTATAGAAATACTATTGATGTTGGCAGAATTTTGAGGGAAACATTTTATCTTGCCCAAGGTTTGTCTATTCTAAAAAATTAAAAATCAAAGAAATAGTCACTTTTACTATGAGCCATGAGCCATCTCATAAAACTTAAGTGTTAAATAGCTGTGCTGGAGGCTGTAGGTTTACATGTGGCATATGCTGCATCTTTGGAATTCTTCCTGAACCCCTGCAGAACGAAGAACACAACACAATTTTTCTCTAAATCCCCTTTATATTTAGTCACTAGCTCAAAAAAGTCTGCTTTCCCAGGTCCTTGGACAGGGTCCCTGGTTTTAAGGGCTTTTCCCTTCAGCCCAAGCTTTTATGTAGCTTTCAGGTACGTTAGATTTTACAAAGGTGGTCACAGATTGACTTTCCTTGACCTTACTTGTTCTGAAATAGAAATTGTAATAACAGTACTTACTTAATAAACATGATCAGTGTCTGTCTTTGTGGTGCTTCCATCCTACAAACTTCACATAACATTCCACATGATTATTATTTGCCAATAATTTTGATTTCTGTCAACTTAAATCCTTGTTCCAGGTGGCATCCTCCCACAGATGATGATCCCTCAGTGCTTGACTGACAAGATGCATAACACCAGAAAGGAAAATGAAATATGAAAGTCAGCCTTCAGAATAATTTTGACATTTTTTAGATATTACCGAAGAATTTTAACATAAATAGAGAACATTGTTGATGAGGTGGCATTTTAAAAAGAGATCTTTTTATTCAAAAGGGTTTTTCTAAGAAAAATCTGTTCCTTAGCATTTTAATTACTGTAGTTGTGTTCTAGGAATATCTTGTTTTAAGATTAAAAATGGTGGATTTATTAACTAGATTAGGAAAAGCAAGAGGAGAATGATAAAAATAAATCTGTAGAATGAAGAAATGTTATTGAAGGCTGCCATCAGTGGCTGTTGGATTAAAATGAAATCACTGTGTTTGCACCACTATCCTGTGCTACTACATGTGGATGTTTTAAGCGGGAATGAAATGAGAAGAAGGAATTGATGCCATAACCAAGCAGCTGTGTGACTGTCCACTTCTTTACATGTCTTCAAATGCCTTTGAAATTTGGCTGTGAGATTGATCACACTAATAAATTCAATAGTGCATAAAACAAACTAAAAGGGAAAAGCTTTTCTTAACCTGAAAACTTATTGAATGTTATTTTTTATTAGTGATATGAAGGAGCTTTCTTAAAGGTAGGTTCTTTCTACAGCCTTCCGAATACTTTAACCTCTTTGGTTATGGAAGCTGCCTTAGAATTTCAAGCAGTAATTATACCTAATAGCGCTTTAGCTCCTTTCAATGATACAAAGAGTTCAGAGATAAGCTAACTGTATTCCAGTCTTGCATATATTTTTGTCTATATGACTGTCTAGGTTCAAACATGGCTTACTTTTTGAAGCAAGATTTTGAAATGATGTTGGTATTGCTTGGCTGCAAAGGCTTCCAGAAGATACCTAATTATTCTGAACACTGTCCTTTTAGAGCAGATTTGTATTTGTGTTTAAGTACTGTATATACTGGCTTTTAGACAGTAATCATTATATTTCCATTTGAAATAACAGGCTGTTCCTATCATGTTCAAGTCCACCAAAGCATATTATGAACCTTTATAGACCCAATTTTACTACATATTTATCCTTTTCCATTACTTCAAACATTGTCCCTACATGTTCTGGTGGGCAAACAGGAACATGAATGGAAACCTAGGTTTTTGAAATGGGAGTTCATTAAATGAGAGTGTTCATGTTACTGATTCAGAGAAAGATTTGCTGTCCATTGTGTTTTCCTCCCTCTGACAGTCCTCTCCCTCTCCCGTTCCCTGACACCCACCCCCACGAAGGCAGTCTCTCCAGGTGAGGCCCCAGCCCAGCCTGGGCTGACACTGGTGACTGCTGCAGAAAGAGGTGGGGCTGCCACAGCCACAGCTCCCTCCACCCTTCCACCGACCTGAGTTCAGCTGTTGCTGCTGCTGCTTTGCCAGTGGCAGAGTCGTCCCTGTGCAGTGTAATTCCAGCATCCTTGGAGCATCCAACAGCTGCCGGGCACTTGCAGCCCTCTCATGAATTTCTTTCTTTTTCTTCAAGTGGCTGACTTCTGTTGCTTCAAGGCTATTTTCCATCTCCTCACAGAAACACTGTAAGTACAACTTCTGCTGTGTCTCCTCAGTTATTGCCTCTGTGAAATTCATCTGTCTTGTACTGAATAGTAGGAGTTACTAGTTAAAAGAGGTTTGTTGCGGTCTCTGCTCCTGTTTGAGGTACTCAAGTGGACCATTAGCATTTTAGTTTTTAGCTGGATTAAAACATGAAATGAAATCAAAACAACTAAAAATGTTGGTGGTTTCCTGGTTGCCTTTTTCCTACATTATAGCTAAATTGTCAGTTTATCCTTTCTCTGAATGCTGGTGCCTAGTGAATAGTGGAAGTGAGAAGAAAAGCATTTCCATCCCTACTTATTTGCTGGAATGAGTTTTGTAAAGTGCAAGGAAGAGAAACTTTAATGCATATTGATAAACTCTTGGCATGCTGAGGCAGTTAATCCTGCTGCCTGCTGGAATGCAGCTGGCCAAGGATGTTTTAAAAAGGAGCTAGGCTGGGGGGTATCAGTTTCTCTCAGTTCCTTGGGTTCTGAAGCTGAGGTAAAGGAACACATGACTTTAGGGACCTCAGACGGATGCAACAGTGTGATTACACAGTCAAACTAAAAATCATCCCAGGACCTGGAAGCTGCAGCAAAAGGGCCCATTTCAAGCTGTCCTGTTTCCTGACCTGGTTTGGTATGACCTGAACTCCATGGTGTCACCTCAACTCTGTATTCTTAAAGACATTTCACATAAATATTGTATTATCTATGGATTGGCCTCTCTTTAATTGCATCACTAGGAGTTGCAGAAAGGACATCAAGATGTTAACACTCTGAAGACATCATAGACTAACTTTTCATATTGACAGTGCCAGAGATATTCAGAGTGGGAGAACACACTTGCAGTTCTGGCCAAGTTCCCACTAAAATTTGCACAGTTGCCGAAAATGTTGCCTTTTATCTGCATAAAACCTCACATAATTTTATAATTGCATTTTACATTCTGAATTGGAAACTGTGGGAGTGAGTATGGCACCAGCTACTTGACAGATGATTTAGGACACCAATATAAGGGGCAGTATCTGAGAGTCTTGACTGTCTTCTCAGACTTTTTATGCTCATTTGAGGTTTTTTTGGGTTTGCTTTTTTTTTTGTTTGTTTTACACTGCTATTCCACTGTACTTTATCCTGATAGGAAGGAACTGAGTAAAAAAAAAAATTATCAGGTGTTTTAGTGAGTTCTGTCTGTACTTGCCTCAAGGATATGGAATACACATCATAGGAAAACTGCATTTCTCCCAGAGGGAATCCATGTGTAATAATGAATACATATTCTGTAGCATTTGAAGTTCTCATTATGCCTCCTGTATTATTGCTCTTTCCATCTCCATTTCTCCAGATAGTTTCTGTGTTTTGAATATATGGTAGAAATAATTATGCCAAAAGTTTACTTAATTTTCTAACATAAGCCAGAAAGGAATTTGCCTTTTTCAAGTCTTTCAACACCTACTGAATGAGTTCAGAATGTGGTGATGCTCACCCAGTAGAGTGTATGGTCTGGTTTACCATACCTTCATTACCATCTTTCTGAGCTGAGCTTTTCCATGAAAGACTGGCTATTTATAGCTCTGTTACTTGTTTGATAGCATACCAATAGTATTCTTTAAACATTTGCTATTGACCTGATTTTACTCATGATCCAAGTGCAGGAGTTTAAGGGAAGAAGTCTTGGTCTCAAGGAACCTTTCTGACATAGGGTCTGGTCACTTCAAACTTTCTGCTTCAGGGTCTCATGTTCTAAACAGCATTAACGATTTCCAACCTAGCTTCTGTGTCAGGGTTCATTGACTGGTATTTATTACATGGTTTTAAAAAAAAAGTATTTTTCTGTATATATGCATGAATAGTCTCTTGGGGTACTCTTGAACTACATAATGGCAGAATGACTGTGATTGTATATGCTTCATTTTCAGGTATCTTGTTCAAGTATGGAATTTGTATGGAAACGAAGGTGGTATCTTCAGCTGGGCTGTATATTGATAGTGAATTTGGTTTATGCCAATCTAGACTATCAAAAAGAAACTCCGCCAAGCCTGGGTGAGATTGACCATCAGTGCTGGGAGGTATCATCCCATGGGTTGGTGGAGATGAAGAAACTCAAGGTAGCAGATACAGTCATCGCTCTCTGGGACTTCATGATGTTCCTAAAGGAATCCCCTAAGCCCAAGCACAATGAACTCTTCAATGATTTAGCCCAGAACTTCTGGGATATGTATGTAGACTGTGTGCTCTCAAGATCCCATGGAATGGGCAGAAGGCAATTAACATCTCCCAAATATTCTTCCACATACTCACACAGAACTTTAGAAGGTAATTATAGGATATGGTGTTAGTCTGTTATGTACTGACATTACAATGAACCACTGCTTTAACCTTGTCCTTGATTGTTTAGACAACTCAATACAGTAATTTCCAGTTTTCTATCTCTACTTGTCAAAAGTGTTTGCATCTTTCAAAAGTAGCTGCTTTCACAATACATTAGTCATTAGTCGTCAGGGCACTATATTTCTATATTTAACGAAGTGTAAAATATGTTGGGTACGCACATGGGAGTGTGTGGAAATGGATGCTGAATTCTGTGTTTACCACTGTGTGCATATCAATGATAATACATTAATACAATAGTTACAATACTATTCCTGCTATTCAGACTTCAGTCTCAGCTTTGGGGAATTATCCCTCTGTGAAAAGGGAAGACCAAATTCCTGACCGTTTGAACCATATTCTTCCCGTTAAAACTACTTACACATAATGTGATTTAATGGTCACTGTGAATCACTAAACAGTGACAGATTCTGGTCATCATTGTCTGGGATGAGTTTGAACTGAGATCATGTACTGGCTTTACATCTCACTAACCAGTCCTAGATCTGTTATCTCCCTTCCTCCTCAGCAATGGACTTTTTTTACTGATGTACCCAGTCAGATGATTTAGGTTTTCAGACTGAACATGGAGATCATTTAATCCTAGCTTTCCTAACATATTGCTTAGACAATAACTACCTTTCTTTCATAATCTTGCAGGGTCTGCTTTCACCAACTGATTTTAGGCTGAAAGGAGAGAAAATTAAGATACCTCAGCAAGGCAACATCAAAATGAAGGAGCACAAAACCACAGCATATATTGTAGATGCTTAGACAAATCCTTTGGCATGGTTAAATTTTTTTTCTTTTCCTTGTATAAAGTTCTTAATCACTGCTAAACTGATAAGTATATGAGCCCCCACATTGTCACTTTTGCTTTCCTGTCTTGCCATCGACCAATCTTGCCTTTTCCCCACTGCATGGTCTAAATGATTTTGTGTTTTGAACTTTGTTTTACCTTTGTTCTCTCAGGTAAGATTGTAAGTCTGAATGTGTCATATTTTTGTAGTCTTGTCTTTTCCAATAATTCTCTTTTTAAAAAGTTAATTTTGATGGAAACCCAGTATATTTTTATACATTAAGCAATGGAGAAAATGTCAACAAACATATTTTATACAGTGTCTGGCAGATACTATTTACTTCTAAGAATTGAAAAAACAGAGGTGTGACACCAAGCTAACGAGAAGGATTATGCTTATTGTAATGTCCTGTGCAGTATAAACTTTGTATTTTATCACTGCTTATTCTAAGCTATGGATTAATTAAAATATTTTTCTAAGTAGCAAGGTTTGAATACTAGTAATCTTCTTGTCTATTAATATGTTATTTGAAAAGCCACCACTACATTACATTAAGAACAGTGCTTTATGCAAGCCTGTAAATAAGGTGATGTAATCCATCCCTGTCACAGCAGGCAACAGCTGAGAAGAGACCCTGCATCAAGTGGTTTGAAAGACTGAGAGACTGACTTGACTACTGCTCCCCGCGTAAACCATTGAGTATGGATAAAATAATTCATGGAGATTAACCACCTAGATAATCCAGTTCTTCTGAGCACAAAAAGCCTAAGAAATGCTGACTGTTCTCCACTTTACTCCTTGAGCAATGCAGCTTGTTCAGCCCTTGTTGTATTCTAGACTGTTATGAGATTCCAGCTGGTTTTTATTATTGTAGGAAAGAGTACTTATGTAGTAATGGCATATAAACCTCCATAGGTAACAAGAAATCCATCCCACATAATGCCTAGCTCATATATAGTTTGTAAAATATCCAGCGAGTCTCATAGATTTGTAAATGTTTATTTAGGTAAACACAATATTGAACCGCATCTTCTAAAATTTGTCTCCTACAGTATTTTGGAGAGGGTAAAAAAGTAGTGAGAGATTTCTCTTTACCCATGAGACTTTAACAGTTCCAGGAGCCTCTAGGTAGTTGTGACTTGAGGGTTCTAAAGCATTCATGTGGGCAGAGCTCAGCTCATAGTATAAAGCATATTTTAGGGAAACTGCCTTTTAGACCAAGATTGGACCATCTCCACTCCCACGCCCAGAGAAATAAAACCAAATTATTTTATTCCCCTCTCTCACTGCCTCCTATGCAAATTTTTATGTTTGTATATGTATTTATATGTAATTATGAAACCCTTCTTGATTTAATGAGTATAACTAAGTTCCTGATATAAATAATATTTTAAATACACCTTTTCTTTTGAGCAAACAGAGGGAGTCATAACATACCCAAATCCAGCAGTTTCAGGAATCTGTTCCAGCAATATCCAGTTTATAAAGTGGTGTACTATATTGCATTGGCAGCAAATGTTTTAACTGTCATTAATCAAATAAATAAATTCCCCTTGTTCACAAATAATTTTATTCATTACCTACAGAATTGTCAAACTATAATAACATTTTAAAGGTGATGTTTCCTGTATGAGTGGTCTTTTAATTGAATGTAAGAGCAAAGTATCCTATGCAATTTTAAAGGCTTCATCTTTCTACAGTCTTTCTTTGAATTAGCTTTCTGTAGGAGATAAAGGTGCTTAGCATCTATCATAATTGGCTGCAGAATGTTTGAACAATCAAGTGCTATGGTCACCCTGCGGCATCTGCCAAAGGGGCAGGTGATTGTGGACCACAGGAACACAGCACCATAAGCAGCAGCAGCAAACAAATTCCAGGTGGACATACTATGATGGACATGTCTATGACAGAGCCATGGAAAGTCACAGCTAGATACCCCAGGGATGTCTGCATGAGGGATTAACACGGAAGGAATGGGAAGACCTTTTCTTCCACCAGTACTCCTGCTCTTTTCCATGCCTAGGTTACAGCAGGGACAGCAAGCCCAGTGTCTTGGGTGTCATGTGTCCCCTACCCCCTTGACAGCCAGACCATGGTCCATGGCTGGCTGGGAAAATCAAATGTCGTCTGTGCTGCAGTGAGCCTTGTGTTAGTATTAATTAATTAAGTATAAACGTAAGCATTTGGGGAAATTCTATCCCCTTTCTTCTCCAGTCATTATTAATTTACATTAATGCTCAATTAACAAGAGCATTTGCTTGCAGTCAGGGTGTCTGTAGCAGAAGCACAATGCAGTTGGGGGAGATATTCTGTGGGGCTCACTTTGTGCCTGATTTAGTTTTTGCATAAGCAAAACTGATTTCCAGTTAAAAGTTCTTCTTTATCCATACCTTGGCTACACTGTACTGCTGTAGTCTTTGCTCAAAAATTGGAAGGACTTACAGAATTCCTCTACGTTTTGTTTTTATTTTTAAATAGGCCTTTGCCTTGCTGCCAGTAGTAATGAGTCACCCACACATTCACATGTGTGCAAGCATGTAAAAAACCCTCTAAATGTCACAGTCTTTGGTCTCCTAGCAAAATATTTATTGTTTGGTTTTAATCGTGAAAAGACAATGGAGCATACAATCTCTCAAGCAGTAATAAAGGAGCAAAGCTGCTGCAGAGTTGTCAGAGAAATATAAACATAAATGAGTAAGACTTTACTTGACACAGGACTTCAGTAAGAGAATATCTATATACCTTAGCTAACATTTCTTGTAGGCAGGGGTTCTTGCATGTCCAGGGTTGTTTTATAAAACGTACTTAAACTTCATCAGGATAATTTTGGGAAAAAATGTCATAATGAAAGTAGATTATAGTTAAAAAGTATCAGTCAGCAGAGGGCCAGCATAAAAAGTTACATTAAATTAGCATAGCTGAATTTAATTTCTCTAGCTTTAAGTACCAGATTACTTTCTTACTCTACAATGAGGTGTTTAACAGAGCTGCCCATAAGAAAATGCTTCTGATCTTTGGAAAGTACACATGTAGAGACTTTTCTAACTTCAAGTACCATTTTTCATATAGCTGTTTTATTTTACTTCATTATTTTCTTAGAGTTCTTATTTTTATAAAATTTATGTAGACTATTTTGAAACAAAACTATTTGTCTTTATTTTTAATGTGACCACTGCTATGTCTTGTTATAGGGACAAACATAATTTTATGACATGCTTACACACCCTCACCCCCACCCTCATCCCATCCTTCTTTCATGAAGTAAAAAAGGGAGTTGGAATATGTTTAGTTCAAATTTATTTCCTTTCTTCAAGTTGGTAGTTAACAAAGTGAAAGCTTGTGCTTTTCTCAAGGTGCTGCTTACAGGCAAAAATGACAGAGTTTGTATGTCACAGTGTACAAGCTTGCAATGTCACAGAAATTTATGCCATAGCACTGGATAGTAACTGATTTTAAAACCAAGTAACACCTTCAGGGAATCTTGCTCTACTGTAATATAGCAAATTCTGGCATTGCCCAAATTAAGAGAGAAGAAAATATCTTAGAAACTGAGTTATCAACATAAAAGTCTGCTGCTTACCAGCTTGTGTTGGTATTCTAGAGATGCTAGGGTGGAAGAGGATGAGTTTTTGTTGGAGACAATATGAGTAATAGCCCAACAAATAATTAGATTAATAAGATAATTTAAAGAGCTGTGAACAACCCATAAGGAGCAGGACATTCCAGCATGTCTCTCCAGCAGGCTCAGAGAAACTGTTGGCATAAACAAGCTTTTAAGTGAGAGTTTAGATGAAGACTGAGAGAAGTAGGTGTCAGAAGTCCTGATGCTAAAGGTGGCAATTCAAGAAACAAAACGGACTTGGACAAGTACGAGGTGGGTATGGTATCCAGGAAAATGAAGAACTGAATGTGTTTATGTGAAGGTTTATCACCCTGCTCAATGAGGTACTTAAACTGCAATGTGTGGAATGTGTCAGCAAGAGATGGAAATATAAATAGCAGACCTACCGATGGTGGATACTAGCTCACAAAGTTATCAGACTCAACATACCTTTCTACCATACTGTACAGGGTACTTTATTAAAAAAAAAATTCCCATATTCATATTAATTAAGGGAAAATACAATTTTACTCTCAAGATGTTCTAAGCAATTTATCAAAGCATTACAAATAGATTTTATCTTGTATCTACATATAGGTAACTATATATTAATACTCAAAGCACTGTTTGGAACACCCTCTATTCTACAGGTACTGATTTTTTCTTGACTGAGTCCAATGTTTTATCTCTTTTGATCTTTTCTTGAGCTCCCTTTTACAGAGGGCTTTCCATGAGCAAGGTCTGTAACAGCCAGTGGCCCTTGAATGAATTGACGAGGTGTACTTTCAACAGTTACTAAGCGACCAGGCCCGATCTGAAATACAAAATAAATACACTGCTTGACTTTCATGTTAGCATTTAAAATAAGATGAAAGTTAAATCATGAACTGTCTTTTGAAAATATTATTCAACTGGTGGAGATGCCTCTGAGGTTTCTGAGGCCCACTAAAAATATCCTTTACACTAAATTCACAATTTGTTCCCATCAATAAAAAAAAAAGGAGAATGTTTTTCAGCAGGTGATTTTATGTGCTCTGCTTTTCTGCCTTCATTCAGATCTTATGAACTGAAAAAAAGGAAAATCAAGCTTTTATTACAACAGAAGTTTGCTGTGCAATGCTATTTGGATTTGTATAGAATATCAGCCACAGATTTTGTCCTCAGAATTTTGCTACACATTAGTACTTCAAAGGAAAAAAAAAGGAACAGACCCTCTTTGCAATTGCCTATAAGTACTGCTCCAGGAAAACTCCAAGACTGAAAGAGGCATACCCTTTACAGTCTCATTACTACTCTTTATACTGAATAGGTTTAGGTCTTTGAACAAAAATCCCTGAGTGACAGCTTTGCCTTCTAACTGTGACCTACTGAAACAAAAAATGCAACTCTTTGAGTGCATGTGGCTCACATTTGATCACTTGACCTTGACTGGTTTGCAACAACCATCTTAGCTTAATCTTCATCTCTTGCTGCTAAAGGTGTGTGCCAGAGAGGAGGGAAGAAAATTGTTGCATAAAAAAACTTTCCAGCCATATCTGTCATTTGTAATTCTTCTAAGCAATGTACCCAAGGAATTTTATATGATGCTGCTGATGTA